ACTTGTCATTATCCTCCCTTGTATTTATCCATATGTTGTAGTTATCCTAATCATTATAGGATTAGGATAATCATCCCCTTTATTGTTGTAATCCTTATCTCCTAAGGAATATGCTTATTCTCTTGTATGTATATATATGTATGTGCACGTGATGAATAAGACAATGAGAGTTACAACCTTCTTCTTTATTCTTTAACAGCTTTTGATATTTTTACTTTTTATTATTATCTATTGATTTTGATTCAAAAGGGAAAGCTCAAAAGATTTGACAAGAAACAAAAAATAATTGATAGAGATCAATGATGCTTTACTTTAGCTTAGCCTTCGTCTTGGTGTATATTCTTTATGTATTCTTCTTACACTACCTTTAAACCCTTAACTGATTTTTATTCGAGAATTGGCTTATATCTTTGGTTTGTAATATACAGAGAAAACGATACCTTCATAAAATTAAAATGAAAAAAAAAACTAAATATATCTATACTATTAAAATAGGATCTTATTGATTTTTTACCTAAAAATACTATTTTCTTTATTAACCTTGCACGTTTCATTAAAGACAATCAAGTAATATTAATAACACATCTATATTGGGTCATTTATTTCAGATTCACCCCACTGTTCACAACAAATCTCTCTTGGACCATTTGAGCTGATTAAGAAATCAGATCTTTTTTTTTCTTTGGGTCATTGACTCCAAATTCAAATATTTTTTTAACTTTCTTAATTATTATTTTTTTCTTTTCTTAATATAATTTAAACATTCATAAAAAATTGAATATTTTTATTGAAAAGTATAAATCTTTATTAAAACTATATAATTTTTTATTAAAAATAGTAACCATGTAATAAAATTAATTTATCAGAGTTATACCAATTTAATTCATTAAAGAAGAAAAGTTTAATTTTTTTAAACGTAAATAGTCATTTAAAATGAAACACGATAAAGAAAGATAAAAAATTTAAGTCTTTTATAAAATAAAACACAAATATATGAAAATATGACATTTACTAAATATTTATCAATTGAAAGAAAAAAAAAGAAAATAAATACGCGTTTTGAAAGCGCGGATCAAAATCTAGTGATATGTTTATATTTTGTAAGATGATAGTATATATTACTTTACCAATATGGAAGGAATATTCATGGATGGTAAAAAGAGCAAAGAAAATCAGCATAATACACATCTTATGGATTGCATCATTGGTGCACGCGTCAATACTGGATTACCGAGTTGTACCACGTGGTGAAACCATAATGGTTAACAGGTGCAGGTGCAGGTGCAGGTGCACGGTACAAGCGTCACAGTGGATTAATAACAGAGTTTGATTCTCCACGAAGAAATATATATAGAGTTAAAAGTTTCTTTTTTTTCTCTCCACCACTTTCCACTGCACATTAACACACAAAAAGCTCTTCAAATCAAAATCTTCGCCGGAGAGATACTCGAACCCGGTGACGATGAAGCGAACCACCTCTTCATCGAACTCAGAATCACAAAGCTACATCGAATCACCACACTCTCCTCTCCGATTCCACTCCCCTCTCTCAGAAGCCGGAGATCCACCAGAGAGCCGTTACGTCTCTCCGGAGGGATCTCCTTTCAAACTCGATAATCCGAAGCCGATCGTAACCGAATCCAAGCTCCCTCCTCCTCCTCCTCCTCAGTTTCCTCCGCGCGCGAGGGGAGCACCGGCGACGACGAACTCGTCTTCCTCCGAGAAGTCTCCCTCGTCGATGGTGGTGTTTAATCGCTGGGTGAGGGAGGAAGGTCCGGAGACTACGACGAGGAAGGTTGGAGGCGGAGGAGAATCTGGGGGGACGATGACGATGACGGCGATGATGGGGAATAGAGTGAGAAGAGATGAGTTGGTGAGTATAGCGGCGTTAGGGTTTAGAGTGAGTGAAGTGATTTTGTGTGTGATTTCGTTTTCGATCATGGCGGCTGATAAGACTCAAGGATGGAGTGGTGATTCTTATGATCGTTACAAAGAGTACAGGTCACGTCACTACCTTTTTTTTCTTTTTCTTTACATCTATTTAGGGTTTAATTACAATTGGAACAACTTTTTTTTTTTTTGAATTATAGTACATTATATTTAAAAACCATAATTAACTCCGGTCTCCGGTCTCTTAATTAGATTCTTAGCTTAAGAACCGTTTTTTAGCCAAAAAGATGTTTTAAAAAAAGAGTGTCAAATAATGAATTAAGAATCTAGTTAACAATTCGGGGTTAATGATGTTCTAAGGTTCTGATTACATATAGACTCACACAAAATTACATAGTTCAATCATGTCTCCTATCTAGTTTCGTTTGATCCATATCCCCGGCGTGTTTGGCTAAATAGAATTTGTTTGATCCATAATCTCGGCGTGTTCGACTAAATAGAATTTGTTTGATCCATATTCCCGGCGTGTTCGGCTAAATAGAATTTGATATCATCATGTATTGATTACTCTTCTCTACCTTTGAAGATACTCACAAAAAAAAAAAAGAGAAATTCACCTCGTTTCTTCGGATGTCTGGGAAGATCCCATGTCTGTTTCCGGAGTAACTAGTTCTTGAAGAGCTCGTCTAAGCTTGTAATTGAAACAATTTTTTTTTTTTTTTTAACTTTGCAGGTATTGTTTAGCTGTTAACGTTATAGCGTTTGTTTACTCTGCGTTTGAAGCTTGCGACGCTGCTTGCTACATCGCGAAAGAGACTTATATGTTAAACTGTGGATTTCATGATATCTTCGTCTTCTCCATGGATCAAGTGAGTGCCGCTTTAACATTTTGCATTTTTGTAATCAAGTGTATTGATTCTGATGAGCTTTTTTTTTCTAGCTTCTTGCGTATCTTCTGATGTCGGCTTCTTCATGCGCTGCTACTCGAGTTGATGATTGGGTATCTAATTGGGGAAAAGATGACTTTACTCAAATGGCAACCGCTTCCATTGCGGTTTCTTTTATAGCGTTTGTGGCGTTTGCGATCAGCGCTTTGATTTCTTCTTACAGGCTCTTCGCTCATACTTCCTCTTAGTTATATCCCTGAGACCAAATACAACTCTTTTTCTCTGTATAGTTTCTCTTACAGCCTAGAAACCACCATGGTAACGATTCTTGTTACTCTTGTGTGATAAAAAAATATCAATAATATTAAACGGAATAGAGCTTTCTTGCGTCTCAAGTAATCTTCTAATTACTATTATTAAATGAAGGTAGTTGGTAAGTCACACAACACCTAAGTACATGTTCTCTTACAAGCAAACTTCATATGAGTACCATAAGAAACGTGTTTATATCAAGAAACTATATATAAAACATTTTTTTAGTTCCCTTCTTGGCTGAATTGTTGCTGCTCTGTTTCTTCTTGGATCTCTGTGAACTGCAAGTTTCCTGATTCATCACCACCAGATTCAGAGAACTTAGTGATCTTCTGTAACTCGTCGCTCACACCTATCTGGTCATCACTAGGAGCTGCTTCTTGGTCTATCTTAGCTAGTGGCTTAGGACGGCGAATGGCCTCGGCAGCTTCTGGCATAACAACGGGAGGTGGTTGTGGAGGAACCCATGATCGCTGCCTCGGGAGAGCTGCTGGTTCCATTGTGTTTGTTTCATTTTGGATACCGATGGACCTGGACGCTGTTGTCTCATAGCCAAAATCCGTGGATCTAGGGTTTTTCTGTTGCCACCATGGACCACCGTTGGAACTCTCGTCTTGAGGCGGTTGACCATAGTCCCATGGCTGATAATAGTAAGAGATCATCAGTAATCAAATCAGAATCAATTAATCTACGATGCGAAGACTGTTGTTTCATATCTCATTCAGAAACGTTATAGTTTGTACCTTAGTTTTAGGAGCGGTGCGGGGATTTGATAGCTGTTGGTTTGGATTGGGTGGCATGTCGTTAATCTCCTGTTATATCAGTGAAAGTGCGATAATTTTTGTGACAATGAACTATAAGGTTGGTCTAAAACTGGTGCGAATAAAAGAAAATGGAAGTCAAATTACCCGAATGTTTGAAGGCTTCTCTCCTCTCTGGATCATAGACATTATCTGCAACATCAATGGTATTCAGCTTAACGTTACAAAGGTTAACTGGAATTCACAGGGTAAATATTCATTATAAACCCAGGATTATGCAGCAAACTGCAGAGATTTCAGAACATTACATCCATGTACGACTTTGGATGAGGGGGCATAGAAGAATCAGCTGGTGGCGCAGGAGGAGAAGCAGACCGTGCTGTATTATTCATTATTTCATTAGTTAGACAGAACAACCTAAAAATTACACTAGAACAAAACGCTCACTAAGCCAGAGAGGAAGGTAACCTGAGCGCGTGTCATAATCAATGCCGCTGCCATTTGGATAGGATCTCTGCATCACATATCAATGTTCCTAATGTTACCAAAAGGATTATACTATCAAGTTCAAGTGTACTTGGTATCAGATTCTCTTTCTTCCATTCATGTTCAATAAAGATGTCTAGGGTTTTCTTTGTGTGTTTTGTGATCTTTTACAACATCATTGGTTCAACCTATCCCCAAAATGCCTAAGGAATGACAAAGACAAGAATAATGATAACCATTATTCCATCAGTTAATTACAAGCTTTAGTTGATTACAGTGTTATTTATTCAAATTTTTATCTCCTTCTTTTAACGGAGTTTATTTCCTCATAGGATTTGGTATTAGGTTTTCTGCTACAATGGATAGAATCTCGGTTGTGAGACACATCCCACAATAGAAGAGACCTTACAGCCTATTACAGGAGTATACTCTCAGAGGTGTTTTGGTTTCAAATTCTGTTTCTTTACATTGAACAAAATGATTAGGCTTTTGAGTTTTATGTCTGTTTGTGGATCATTTACTCTATGCATCAAAGATTATTCCAAAACCCTTAGACCTTAAACTCACCCTTTCTGCCGGAGTTTTGACCAAACCGCCACCGTAAACCTCTTGGTCAGCTGAATAAACCTTGGGGAGGTTGTTGTAATTCCCTGAAAGTAAGAGCAGAAATAGAAATCTTTAGATCAAGAAGCTTTGACAATGGCCCTTAATATCAAGCCAACATTAGACACCTAGACCCTATATGGCTCCTGATTAAGATCTTCCTTTTTGCATAAAGCTTAAACAATTACCTTCGAGATTACGGATATTATTGCTCAATGCCTTCATTTCTTGTACTTGGACGCCTAACATGTGCGTTAAGTCCTCGAAATATTTCCTCTCTGACGAAAAAGCAATGCACAAATTTGCTTTCACTGAAAAAAAGGAAGAACCACGGAAAAAAAAAGAAGAACAAACATCTACCTTCACTCTTCGTTATCATCATTTCCTGGCTAACCCTGGCTACATCAGAAGCAGCCGCTGATGCAGCTTTAGCTGCAGCTACTGCTTCTTCAGCTAAGCTAGGTTTTCCATCAGCTTTCTTCGGAGGCTCAGTTTCTTCTTCCAACATAACTCTACGGACCCACGATTTTATTCTGGGGATGAGAGATTTCTGAAAAAAGAACAAAAACTCACTTCATTCAGTTTGATCTTGATTTTGCACAAGGAAATTAATACTACAAAACTTGCATTCCACATGGAGCATTGAAACACATCTAGCAATCAGTAAATTCCAGAGAGTAAAGAAGAAACAAACTTCTCGACACTGTAGCAATCCAGATTAAAATGTAATAGTGGTGAAGTCAAAAACGGAGAATGAAACAATGAATATCAAAAGTGTTATCATTCCATTTCAATTATGGCCTAACCATCTCACTCCTTTACTCAATGTGCTAAGTAAATTCATAACACATTCATCTTAATACTCTAGATACAAACGGAGATAACAAAGAGGTTTTCAGGTCAGTAGGTACCTTAACAAAAACAGCAGTTCCGACACCAGAAGCAGCTAATACACCAACAGCAAGAGCAGCATGGTACCAGCGAAAACGGGAGAGCAAACTTGGAGGCGGAACCATAACAACGGGAGCAGGAGCAGGCTGCATAGCTTGTTGTACCTGCCCTTGTGGCTGAACACTAGACACTGCTTGCTTTCCATCTATTTTTAACATAAAAAGTTAATTAAACTCCCCTAAAAAATGCAGCCACCAAATAGACCTTTAAGTCTCGCTTATTTTACCTTGGCTGTTAACAGTTGTCTGAGAACTTGGTGGTGGGTCCTATATGATTAAAGATGTTTTACATTAGTAAGCCATTGAAGATATGCAAAGTTAAGTAAAAGAAGATTCTTACAGGGACACGGCGGAAAGCTTCGTCAATCTCTTCCTTAGTGAGACCTTTCTTCTCAAGAAAGGATCTTCTGTGTATGACAGGGGATCCTCTAACTCTGGGGTGAGAAAGGAACTTGATAGCGTTCTGAATCTGATCCTCACGTATTGGTTCAGAGTTCTTGAAGACAGAGGGCAGAGAGTCCTCCTGCTTAGCAGTTTCTTGAGCTATGCTAGCTTGCTGAACCTGAGGCTCTGTAACAACCTCTGTTAAACAATACATTAATAAAACCTCTACTCCACTACTAAACTTCACCAATTTTCACAAAATCTTGAGCTAACGTACAAAGACTACAATCATCATACTCTTCTAGGTTTTAACTTTGATGATTCGTTAATCAAAACAATTTGTTTGGTGGAGATTGAACAGTCATCACCAATATGAATACAGAATCAGTAACTAACTAAGCGTAACAGTTTAATCACGGTCTCATGATCTCATCATAACAAACACAGACAATTCTATTTCGCGAAAAAAAATGCTCAGAATCTAATATGAACCGGATACAATCAATTACTAAACCACACTCAAACCAACATTAAACCAGTGTGTATACATTAATAGAAAAGATTAGTAGAAGAAGGATGTAATCGAAGAAGGATGTAAGCTTGTAATTGAAACAATTTTTTTTTTTAACTTTGCAGGTATTGTTTAGCTGTTAACGTTATAGCGTTTGTTTACTCTGCGTTTGAAGCTTGCGACGCTGCTTGCTACATTGCGAAAGAGACTTATATGTTAAACTGTGGATTTCATGATATCTTCGTCTTCTCCATGGATCAAGTGAGTGTTAGTGACATGTTTTGCATTTTTTGTAATCAAACGTATTGATGATTCTGATGAGTTTTTTTTTTTTTTTTGTCTCTAGCTTCTTGCGTATCTTCTGATGTCTGCTTCTTCATGCGCTGCTACTCGAGTTGATGATTGGGTATCTAATTGGGGAAAAGATGACTTTACTCAAATGGCAACCGCTTCCATTGCGGTTTCTTTTATAGCGTTTGTGGCGTTTGCGATCAGCGCTTTGATTTCTTCTTACAGGCTCTTCGCTCATACTTCCTCTTAGCTATATCCCTGAGACCAAATACGACTCTTTTTCTCTGTATAGTTTCTCCTACAGCTTAGAAACCACCATGGTAACGATTCTTGCTACTCATTTTGTGTGATAAAAAAATATCCAATAATATTAAACGGAATTGAGCTTTCTTGCGTATCAAGTAATCTTCTAATTACTATTATTAAATAAAGGTAGTTGGTAAGTCACACAACACCTAAGTGCATGTTCTCTTACAAGCAAACTTCATACAAGTAACCATAGAAAACGTGTTTGTATCAAGAAACTATATATTAAACATCTTTTTAGTTCCCTTCTTGGCTAAATTGTTGCTGCTCTGTTTCTTCTTGGATCTCTGTGAACTGCAAGTTTCCTGATTCATCACCACCAGATTCAGAGAACTTAGTGATCTTCTGTAACTCGTCGCTTACACCTGTCTGGTCATCACTAGGAGCTGCTTCTTGGTCTATCTTAGCTAGTGGCTTAGGACGGCGAATGGCCTCGGCTGCTTCTGGCATAACAACTGGAGGTGGTTGTGGAGGAACCCATGATCGCTGCCTCGGGAGAGCTGCTGGTTCCATTGTGTTTGTTTCATTTTGGATACCGATGGACCTGGACGCTGTTGTCTCATAGCCAAAATCAGTGGATCTAGGGTTTTTCTGTTGCCACCATGGACCACCGTTGGAACTCTCGTCTTGAGGCGGTTGACCATAGTCCCATGGCTGATAATAGTAAGAGATTATCAGTAATCACAGAATCAACTAATCTACGATGCGAAGACTGTTGTTTCATATCTCAATCAGAAACGTTATAGTTTGTACCTTAGTTTTAGGAGCGGTGCGGGGATTTGATAGCTGTTGGTTTGGATTGGGTGGCATGTCGTTAATCTCCTGTATATCAGTGAAAGTGAGATAATTTTTGTCACAATGAACTATAAGGTTGGTCTAAAAATGGTGCGAATAAAAGAAAATGGAAGTCAAATTACCCGAATGTTTGAAGGCTTTTCTCCTCTCTGGATCATAGACATTATCTGCAACATCATTGGTATTCAGCTAAATGTTACAAAGGTGGTTAACTGGAATTCAAAGGGAAAATATTCATTATAAACCCATGATTATGCAGGTAACTTCAGAGATTTCAGGACATTACATCCATGTATGACTTTGGATGAGGGGGCATAGAAGAATCAGCTGGTGGCGCAGGAGGAGAAGCAGACCGTGCTGAATTATTCGTTATTCATTAGTTAGAGAGAACAACCTTATAAAATATAATACAAAAATGCACACTGAGCAGAGAGAGGGAGAGAGAGATAACCTGAGCGCGTGTCATAATCAATGTTGCTGCCATTTGGATAGGATCTCTGCATCACATATCAACGTTCCTAATGTTACCAAAAGGATTATACTATCAAGTTCAAGTGTACTTAGCTTTTAAATGGGGCGTTTTGGCTCAGATTCTCTTTCTTCCATTCATGTTCAATGAAGATGTTTTGGGTTTTCGTTGTGTGTTTTGTGATATTTAACTATATCATTGGTTCAACCTATCCACAAAATGCTAGAGGATGACAAAAAAACAAGAACAATGATACCATTGTTCCATCAGTTAATTACAAGTTTAGTTGATTACAGTCTTAGAATTTTTTCAATTTTTTATTTCCTTCATTTAAAAGAGTTTATTTCCTCACAGGGTTTGGTGTTAGGTTTTTTTCTACAATGGATATAATCTCGGTTGTGAGAAACATCCCAGAATAGAAGAGACCTTATAGGCTATTACAGGAGTAAAATTTTACTCTCTGAGGTGTTTTGGTTTCAAATTCTGTTTGTGGATCATTTACTCTATGCATCAAACATTATTCCAAATCCCTAACTCACCCTTTCTGCCGGAGTTTTGACCAAACCGCCACCGTAAACCTCTTGGTCAGCTGAATAAACCTTGGGAAGGTTGTTGTAATTCCCTGAAAGTAAGAGTAGAATTAGAAATAGAACATTACTTTTTAGATCAACAAGCTCTGACAATGGCTCTTAATATCAAAGGAAACATTAGGCATCTAAACCCTATATGACAAATATCATACAAGTATGAACACCAGATATTCTTTTTCGATAAGGCTTGAATACTGACCTTCGAGATTACGGATATTATTGCTCAAGGCCTTCATTTCTTGTACTTGGACACCTAACATGTGCGTTAAGTCCTCGAAATATTTCCTCTCTGACAAGAAACAATGCACAAATTTGCTTTCAGTGAAAAAAAAAGGAAGAACCAAAGAAAGAACAAACATGTACCTTCACTCTTCGTTATCATCATTTCCTGACTAACCCTGGCTACATCAGAAGCAGCCGCTGATGCAGCTTTAGCTGCAGCTACTGCTTCTTCAGCTAAGCTAGGTTTTCCATCAGCTTTCTTCAGAGGCTCAGTTTCTTCTTCCAACATAACTCTACGGACCCAAGATTTTATTCTGGGGATGAGAGATTTCTGAAACAAGAAAAAAAACTCACTTCATTCAGTTTCATCTTTGATTTGGCACAAGGAAAATAATACTACAAAATTTGCATTCCATATGGAGCATTGAAACACATCCAGCAATCAGTAAATTCCAGAAAGGAAAAAAACAACTTTAGACATTATAGCAATCCAGATTTAAATGTGCTATGTAAATTCATAACATCATTCATCTTAAGACTGCATATAAATGGAGATAACAAAGGGCTTTGAGGTCAGTTGGTACCTTAACAAAAACAGCAGTTCCGACACCAGAAGCAGCTAATACACCAACAGCAAGAGCAGCATGGTACCATCGAAAGCGGGAGAACAAACTTGGAGGCGGAACCATAACAACAGGAGCAGGCTGCATAGCTTGTTGTACCTGCCCTTGTGGCTGAACATTAGACACTACTTGCTTTCCATCTATTTACAACAAACAAAAAAAAATATTCATTAACACACTTACTCCACCTCCACTGAAAACATTTATAATCATCACTAGCTTATTTTACCTTGAGTGCTAACAGTTGTCTGAGAGCTTGGTGGTGGGTCCTATATGATTAAAGATGTTTTACATTAGTAAGCCATTGAAGATAGACCAGTAAGAAGAGATATACAAAGTTAAGTAAAAGAAGATTCTTACAGGGACACGGCGGAAAGCTTCGTCAATCTCTTCCTTAGTGAGACCTTTCTTCTCAAGAAAGGATCTTCTGTGTATAACAGGGGATCCTCTAACTCTGGGATGAGAAAGGAACTTGATAGCGTTCTGAATCTGATCCTCACGTATTGGTTCAGAGTTCTTAAAGACAGAGGGCAGAGAGTCCTCCTTCTTAGCAGTTTCTTGAGCTTGCTGAACCTGAGGCTCTGTAACAACACATTTTAAATTAACAAACGAAAATATCTTTTCTAGCTCAAAAATAGTTACGGTGGGATTTAACATTCATCAGTTAACTATTAATTAGGATCATTAACTCACAGTTAGTGACGGTTACAGCATAGCTAAATGTGTTAAACGACACATTTTAAGTTAACAAACGATTTAATCTTTTCTAGGTCAAAAATAGTTTTGGTGCGATTGAACATTCATCCGTTAACTATTAATTGTTGAATCAGTAACTCACACTTAGTGACGGTTACAGCATAGCTGAATCAGTAACTAACAGTTGCCAATAGTTGAATTAGTATTTTTTTTTTGTTTGTTCACTTCCAATAGTTGAATTAGTAACTAACAGTTAATCACGGTTACAGCATAGCTAGTAACTAACAGTTAGTGGCGGTTACAGGATCGAGAGATAAATAGCGAGAATATTAGTAGAGGATGTAAATTGTAATCGAAAACCTGAGATAGGGGATTTATTATCGGAGGGAGGAGGAGGAGAATCGGAAGGAGTTGCCATCGGAGCAGCTCACCCGACCTTTCCTTTGAACGAATCCAAGCGGCGAAAGAGGTTGAGAAATCCAAGTCGAAAACGAGTGATGATGATCAGATTTTGCCCATATCGAGGCACCAGAGATTAATAAGTTTCTGAAATCATTCCTTGTTTGTTTTTATTCTGCGTTGATCTCTTGTGATTGGTGAGTTTGTATGTGTGTGTGTGACTGTGTGGTGATCACACCAAGAAAAGAAGATAGAGATAATGGCTACACGTGTGGTTTTAATTTTTTTCCTTAGCTCTATTATCTGGGCCTTACTTAAGCTGGGCCTGACATTGATTGATAATAACTCCTTATTTATCCAGTAAAACTAGGGCTGGGCGCTACTCACTATTTTACTTGTACTTATATCCGGTAAAATTTGCCATTTGTATTTGACTTGTTAAAAACGAATAATTACCATCTTAATATTTGATCAAAAATACTTATTTTGCTTTTGTGAGTAGTAATATTTGTTGACTTGTTACTCGACTTATCAACACGGAATATTTGAATTTTTAAAACGAGTACAAGTCAACTAACGGGTACAAGGTGAATATCAAGTTACGATGCCCAGCTCTAAGTAAAACTATATACAGTAATAAGCTGGTTAATAAACAAATTACTTGCAAATGTTACTAGCAAATGGTATACATAACTCTCTATCGCTGGTGGGTCTTTGAATATGTAACTATCACTATAATCAAAGATCAAAACATAACAAAGTTATTGGATTAAGCAAAACGACAGGTTGTATCAGGAAACGTAAACCGTTACTTTTGTCATTTTCTTATATATAAGTATAATTACGCTTTTGTAACTATATAATAAAGAGATTAACACGTTCATAACACTCACTATTCTAGTAGGATATTCTTCCTTTAAAAAAAAAAAAATACCAAACAAATGTATCTTAGCATAATAAAGACGAGATTTGTTTTATTTTATAAAAATGTCAAAACTGTCCTAAACCATTCAAATCGCGATCCTACCACCACTTAATCGTGATATTCCTCTTATCATCTCTCTCTCACTGTTGATGCTTTGTTCTTCTCTCAGAGTTGAACTAAAAAAAGGTTGTCTGAAAAAATATTCGAATTTTCGAAAAGACTGATGATGACTCTTAACTCACTCTCTCCATCTGAATCCATCTCTCTTTCTTTCTTGGATACCTCCAGGTTCAACCAAACCCCTAAACTTCCAGGTTTCTCTCCAAATCTTCAATCTCTTTTAGACTTAATAAAAAAGCTTCAATCTTTATGAATTTCGCCATCTGGGTATCTTCAAACTGTGACATAAGATCCAGTTCTTCGATTTGAGACACTAATCGTCTCAAAGTTGGATACTTTGTGGGTTACTTGAGAGTATTATAAAGTTTAAATCTTTGGAGTGTTGTCTCACAGGTGGGTTTAGTTTGAGGAAGAGAAATCAATGGAGAGGTTTTGGCAAAGGAATCAAGTGTTCAGTGCAGCAGCAGCAGCAGCAACCTCCTCCAGCTTGGCCTGGGAGAGCTGTTCCTGAGCCTCCTCGTCAATCTTGGGATGGACCTAAACCCATCTCCATCGTTGGTTCTACTGGTTCTATTGGCACTCAGGTTCTTTGCATGCTCTTTTGCCAGATGATTTTACCTCTACAGCTTAGGTTAGGGACATTGTTTTTAGGATCAGACTGTAAATTTATGTTTAAGATGACTAGGCACAAAGAAGATAGGAGTTTTTATTTTTTTACCATATCATTCATGCCTAGTGATTTCCTAGTTAGAAGTGTGGATAAGACTAAATTGTTCTTTAATCATTACTTCCTCCGTCCATTTCGAATTAGTTGTCATTCTAGAGAAAAATATTTGTCTCAAAATAAGTGTTTTTCTAGAGTTTCAAAGCAAAATTTATTAGTTTTATATGATATTTTATTTTCCTATTGGTTGAAAAGTGATTGAGTGTATAGGTAATTGTATTTTTATCTTGAAATTATATGTAAAATTAAATGTTTCCTTAATCTGTGTGCAGAAACCTAGAATGACAACGAAAATGAAATGGAAGGAGTATCATTTATAAGAACTTATAGTCTTGTGTGTGTGTGTTTTGCAGACATTGGATATTGTAGCTGAGAATCCTGACAAATTTAGAGTTGTGGCTCTAGCTGCTGGCTCCAATGTGACCCTCCTTGCTGATCAGGTAAATTAGCAGAATCGTTGGATCATTTTACAGTAATTAGTCTCTCCAATTTAGACCTCCTGGAATCAGTTTTACCTCCCAGTTAACTAGTTAAGTGGTAGTATCATTAGCAAGTTATTGTAAATTAGTTGTGAAGCAAATCAAACAGAGAAATCAGCTTCTCGTTTTGATTGTTGGCATCAATTTTATTCAACAATATAGGCTTACTAATCATTAGCAAGATATTGTAAACTAGTTGCATAGCGAGTAAGTTCAGAGAAATATTGTTCTTTCTTAATTCTTACACCTTCAGTAATATTGAGGAACCTCTATATGATGGTTGTGTGACTCTCTTTTGACTTGCAGGTAAAGAGATTTAAACCCGCACTTGTTGCTGTTAGAAATGAGTCATTGGTCAATGAGCTTAAAGAGGCGTTAGCCGGTTTGGACTATAAACCTGAGATTATTCCTGGGGAGCAAGGAGTGATTGAAGTGGCTCGTCATCCAGACGCTGTAACTGTTGTTACCGGTATAGTAGGTTGCGCAGGACTCAAGGTATTATAAACTCTACTGTTTTGTTACTTAAGCTCATTGAGAGAATATGAACTTTAAAGTTTAAAATTGATTATTATTTACTTATTTGCAGCCTACGGTTGCTGCGATTGAAGCGGGAAAGGACATTGCTCTTGCAAACAAAGAGACGTTAATCGCCGGTGGTCCCTTTGTGCTTCCACTTGCCAACAAACATAATGTTAAGATTCTTCCAGCAGATTCAGAACATTCAGCTATATTTCAGGTATAGACTTAAGCTATTTCTGTCTTTAGCTAATTGAGTGAAAGTATGTGATTCCTGTTTTGTTCTTTTATGTTTTTAGTGTATTCAAGGTTTGCCTGAAGGCGCTTTGCGCAAGATAATCTTGACTGCATCTGGTGGAGCTTTTAGGTTTGTTTTGGTATTCTTCACTCTCTATAACTATTTTTTCTTGTTTGGTTAATTAGAAATGGTCACTGGATGTTGGTTTATAGAGATTGGCCTGTTGAAAAGCTCAAGGAAGTTAAAGTAGCAGATGCGTTGAAGCATCCTAACTGGAACATGGGAAAGAAAATCACAGTGGACTCAGCTACGCTTTTCAACAAGGTTCATTCAGATCTTTTTCTTTATTCTCAAACTAAAAGTAGCTTTCATCAAGGTGTTAAAATGGAGTTCTTGATTTTCTTGAAACAGGGTCTTGAGGTCATTGAAGCTCATTATTTGTTTGGAGCTGAGTATGATGATATAGAGATTGTCATTCACCCTCAAAGTATCATACACTCCATGATTGAAACACAGGTCTTACTTCTTATTCATCTTCTGGTTTCAGAAATAAAGAATATATATAATTGTTTTGTTTCCATAGGATTCATCTGTGCTAGCTCAATTGGGATGGCCTGATATGCGTTTGCCTATTCTCTACACCATGTCATGGCCTGATAGGGTTCCTTGTTCCGAAGTAACTTGGCCAAGACTTGACCTTTGCAAGTAAGTTAACCTCATCTATAAACATTTCCTTAGTTTAATCAAGAGTTTAGGCTTGGTTTGAAGATTTCTAATCACCACCAAGAACAAAATATCAAAACAATTTGTCAGTTTACGCAGTGATAACCAAAAAAACAAACATTCAATTTGGTTAGATGCAGTTTTGGTTTTAGTAATGGTTCAAGATTGTGTGGTCTTTTCTTTTGGCAGACTTGGTTCCTTGACATTCAAGAAACCAGACAATGTGAAATACCCATCAATGGATCTTGCTTATGCTGCTGGACGAGCTGGAGGTACTATGACTGGAGTTCTCAGTGCAGCTAACGAGAAAGCTGTTGAAATGTTCATTGATGAAAAGTAAGTTCTTTCTTTTTCTTTTGGAGCATCTCAAGTGTTCTTGAAACTAATCACATTTGTTTTTTTATCTTCACTTTTATGTTTATAGGATAAGCTATTTGGATATCTTCAAGGTGGTGGAACTAACATGCGATAAACATAGAACCGAGTTGGTAACATTACCGTCTCTTGAAGAGATTGTTCACTATGACTTGTGGGCACGTGAGTACGCTGCGAATGTACAGCTTTCTTCTGGTGCAAGGCCACCAGTTCATGCCTAATGGTTGATATTTGATGGAGATGAGCTTGGTTAATAAATGATGTAAAGGAGATTTAGTGCAGATAATGGGTTACATTAACACCGTTTTTTGGCAAGGATTACCGATTCCAAGTTGTACCTAAATTTTCTGTGATCCGAACAAAGCCAAACCGAAATTTTAAACCCATAAACCAAATAAAACTGTTTTTTTTTTTCCTTTCTCTTGAGATTGATATTTCAGGTTTCTGCACATAAATTTTAAAAAATATTTTAGTTTTAGAAATATATATAATAAACATTGTTTTACTACTTACGTAAATGATGTTTAATTATATAGTAAACATAATATTCCTTCCTTCGGTTTCAGAATATTTGTTATTTTATGCTTAATTTTTTTGTCACAAATTAAGTGTTGTTTTAGAATTTCAAGACAAATTTATTAGTTTTATATAATATTCTATTTTTTATTAATTAAAAAGTGGTTAGGTATATAGGTAATTGTGTTTTTATCTTGGAAATATCTAAAATTTAATGTTTTGTGTCTAAAAACCTAAAATAACAACTAAAATTAAACGGAATGAGTAGTTAACTTCATCTTATATAATAAACATAGTTTATAAAAGAAAAAAAATATTTACATGCCACAAATTAACCAATACTCCCTCTGTTTCTCAATAAGTGTCACTTTAGTCTTTTAATTTTGTTTCAAAAAAAGTGTCATTCTACAATTCCAATGTAATTTTGTACATTAAATCTATTTTTTACCCTTTTGAATAACCAATAGTGTTTTACTTAAATTATTTTCATTTAATTAAACATACCTTAAATAGGGATATATTAGTGTATTATACAATTTTCTTAATTTATGTGCAAAGAGTCAAAATGACACTTATTTAAAACAGATGGATTAATATATAATACAAATAGGTCAGCCAAACAAAATTAATTAATGTTATGAAAAAGACATTAACTTTAATTTTCTGTCAATTTTCTCTTTCGTTAGACAAGTGGCTAGAAAAATAAATGCACTTTAGTAACATCTAGACCAAATTTATCTTAATATTTCCACAAACATTACTATATATTCCCTCTATTTTAATATAAATGTTATTCAAATATATTTCACGTAGATTAATAAATAGACAAATGTACTAGTTAGCCCTTATTTAATGTAGGTTTGTTTAAATAAAAATGATATTAAAAATATTTATTAGTTGGTTAAAAGAGTAAGAAATAAATTATATATAAAAAGTTACATTGAAAATAATAAGTAATATTTATTTTGAAGCAAAAAAAATTGGTAGAATAACACTTATTTAGAAACCGAGGGAATATCAAATTACCAACTTTTGGATTCAGAAAACTAATCACGATAATTTTGCCTTAAGAGTAGGAATATAGACTACAATTCACTTTTCTTAACCTACTCCCACCGCTAAAATCATTAAGAATAATTAAAACTTGCAAGTCATATATGAAACATATTCACATTAGATTAATAATTCGTCCGGTAAAAGCAATGTCTAACAACACAAAAATGTTATTTTGTCGGCTCATTATTTTGAAATGATGATGTTCTTTTTATAGATATATTATTAACAAACATACTATGATATCAACTCTCCGATCTATGATCATGTAAGACATCATTAATCGTAACTTGCAAGTCATGCTCTGCATAATCTTATCTTATGATCATTCGTGTTATCAGTTTTGTCTGAGGCGCTGCTGCTTTTCCTAAAAGACACATGTATAAACTTGTACGTAGGTTATACTCTAGATTGTATTTTGATTATATATTACGTGATAAGAGTTGTTATAGTGAGAATCTAAGATACTTAATAATTGAGTTAGTTTGGTTGGTAAGACGTTCATACTTCCCGCCTTTATATCAACTTAGTTTATAATCACTAAAATATACTCCATCTGTTATATAATAGCGTTAGAAGTTTTTTTTGTTTTAAAATATAAGTAGTTTAATATTTTAATGCAATTTTATATTTTGTTATAGTGTCTGATCAATTAAACCATGTTTTTTTTTATAACTGGTTGAATTTAAATATTAAATAACTATAATGTTTTAATATTAGTGTTGTTTTAGTTAAAACTAGTTACATTTTCGAAACAAAAAGAATACACGTTTTCTCAAGAAGGAAACAGAAAGAATAAATGTTTGTACTTATGTAAGAATTATCAATCAAGCCAATAGTGAAAATGTGAAAATCATTGTAGTAAACTAAACCACATGAACCGAAAACTATATTTATTTAGATTACTAGTTCCAAAATATTAATTTCGTTGTGGTTTTCCCACTAAACATAAACTTCAACTATAAAATGAATGAATCGACGACTAGTATTAAATTAATCTAATATTCCCAATGTACATTATTTTTCCCCTGATTTTTATGTTAGTTGGGATGACTCAAGCGACTCAATCAACAATGTGAACACAAATCTCTCTTTATAGAAACTTGAACAAAGATCTCAAGGCAAACCAAACATTCCTACAATGTCCACCGAAATGCTTTATATCCAAATTTAAAAATGCATCCACATCTATATTTTATAAAAAAAAAGTGTATAATATGCGAGATTCTACACGTTAAAGGACCACACTCTTTTGTCTAAATAAAGAAACATAAAACACTTATCCAAATTTTGAATTCTATAATACACACAATAATATCAGGTCATCAAGTAGTCTTTGCTTTTGTGATATATAGCCTTGTAGACATTGAATAAGCCGTCCATCATTTTATTAGGTGAAATAATTCAACATTAAGACAATGAAGAATACAAAATGTTGTGTTCTTACATTAAAATGAATAATAACCATTAGTATCCATTCTAAAAAATAATCATCAAAAACCACCAAAGCTTATATCTACTCCAAACCGACACATAGAGTTGTTTTTAATTAAAAAATATTCAAAAAAATATTCACTTTCTTTCTTTCTCACAAACACTCAAGATTTTTCCAAGAAAACCAAAAAGAAAAAGGTTGAGAGAGAAAAAGAAAAGAAACCGAAGCCCACTTTAAAGTCCACGTCTTCCAATTTTTGTTTCCTTCTCCTTCACGAGATCCACGTCACCTTTTCTAAAAAGGACGTAAATGACGACTAAGCCCATTAACATTTTTTATTATCCCAATCATATCCTTCCTATACGGCACAAACCCCTGTCGTTTCGTCTCTTCACTTTCCTTTTCCTCCTCTCCGACCACAACCTTGTCGGAGTTAGTACTTTCATCTTCCTTCTTAACCGGCGCCGGAAACACGAGCTTGTCGTTACCTTCGCTGCTGCTTCTCGTGTAGAGAAGATTCCTTAGCTTCCATCGTTTCGAAAACCCCGCGGAGTTGCTTTTGATTTTGCTGTGCGACGGAGAAGACGAGAGTCGTCGGAGATCTTCGTCCGTCGAATGTTTTGGCGTCCATACACAGTAACTCTCCGGTGGAACTCCGTTTAGATCATCACCGGCCTCCTCCTCCTCCTCCGGAGAAGAATTCGACGTTTGATCTCGCTCCTCGCTCATTAATTTTCTAAGCGCAGGACGACGTCGTCTTGGAGGAGAAGGCGACGGTTGAGTTTCTCCAACACCGTAAGGGTTAGAGGGACGGATCTGACCGTTACAGAAAATCTCGTCGGCTGTAGCGATGGGAGGAGAGCACTTGTGGTTAGGACAGTCGAAGGCGAACTCGAAATTATTGTCATCGTTGTTGTTGTTGTCGTGGTGGGAGTCTGGTCGTTGCTCTTGGTCTCTGAACTCCTCCACGACTCGAGCGGCGATCGCGGCGAGGTCTACGGCGGAGGAGAAACTACCGAAGCTCGGTGAGTTCGAGGAATGGGAGAGTAACCGGCTTGTCTGCATGTCTAGCAAAAGTTGTTTTTTCTTTTAATGAGTTTTGTCTGAAACGTTTAGAGAAATGTTATGTAAGGAAAGTCGGGTCCCGTCCAAATATATATATACGGAACAATCTTTGTGGTTTTTTTTTCATTTAGGAAGAAAAAAACAAAATTAAATGATGACATTAGGAAGATTAATTGTTGTTTAATTAATCAGGAGCCAAAAAATGTAGTATTAAACATCATTGACCTAACAAGGAGCGTAATCACTGTAGACCACTGACAATGATAAATGAAAGAAAACAAACTTTATAAACACATTACTAGTCTTAAGAAGAAGTCTTCCATTTTTTTTTAAACGCGGTGTATTTGGTCAAGAATATATTTTCTCTCCGTAGTATTTTGGAAAAATGTCACTTATCTTCTTCGATGTCACGTATAATCACTATCAAATCATGAGGTGATAAAAACTTATCTATTCGGTTATTTTTTTTTTCTTTCTAACATATATATTTGAATATTTCAAATGTTTATCATGTCACTGCAATGACGTACTAGACGTAGGTTACGCGTTCTTTGTATAATTATTGATTCCATGTGGAGAGATTGATGATATATCATGGGAATATATCTACTGTCCTAGATTCGAAAACATAGCTTGTTATATGGCTTTTCTCTCTCTTTTTTTCTAAACTAATACTTAATGAAATCACATATTTTTAGTAATAGTCTAATAGAAGACATTACATTAATTCAAAAAAAAAAAAAAAGAAGAAGACATGGTTGTGGTTTGGTTGTTTAAGAAAACGTAGTAATTTGTAAAAATGAAACGAGATCGATGTTTCAAATTTGTTCTCTTAAAACTTTACATACAAAACTAGCTTCTATATAAAAATAATAAGAATATGTATTTTCCCTTTCTTTTGTCAGCCTATATATAGATATATAATCGACAATGATAGTTCGATGGAATTTATATGTGAATGGAAAACATAAATACAGTAGCTCGGTGACCACTCTGTTTTATTTTTGTCTGCCTTCGGTGACCACTATAATTATCATAAACGCGGACCTTAAATAAAAGTCTTAACCAATCATATAATTTTATCGGTAACAATTGGGCTGGGCCTTCTCGTACTGATTCACATTAGTTTAAATGGGCCTCACCGATTATTCTTTTTAATTCTTGGGCCGCTCTATTTCTCACTGTTTATGATTCATTACAGCTCCAAGTTCTCAGCTTCTTCTTCTTCCCCACTCTCAATCAAATCAATTTCATCAACACAAAACCCTAAATCAAAATTTTCAGGGGTTCCTCTTATTCAATCAGAATGGATAATAATAACTTCGGGAACTATCATCAATGGCGTCAAGGACCAAACGTATGCCCTATCTGTACGGCGCCGCACTTCCCTTTCTGCACAACACCGTCTTCTTCTTTCCCTCACAACCCTAACTTCCCTCCGCCACGTCCCGGGTTCGATTCCTTCGCCCCCCGACCACCGCCGCAAAATCACTATCCGAGGCCGTGGCAAGGTCACCACGGGAATAATCAATGGAGACCGGTTCCTGATTGCGATCGGAGCTACAAGAGAGCTCGGATCGATTCCATCGGTGATCAGAATAATCAGATCTATTGGGAGAATGAGCGGAGGTTGAAGATGGTTAGGGATCACGGTTACGGTCTAACTTCTGCGCCGTCACCAGATGTTTCCAGTGTTGAGATGAATCATCATCAGTATAGGAATGGTGTTCAGTTTAACGGTGTAACTGCTCCTCCTCCGTACGGAGGCTATTTTGGTAGTTATAACGGTTATAACGGTCAGCCTCCCCTTCCCGTTTCGCCACCACCGCCTTTGCCTCAATCTCATCCTCGTTCAATGTTTCCTCCCACTCCTAATTCGTCCGCAATGGTGCCTCCATTAGTATCATATCCTCAAATGCCGAATGTTTCGGTAGTAATTGTTGCTTTAGTGGTCACCTTAAAAATATCTTTGATTTTGTTTACTGATGATATCTCATTGTTTTGTTAGCTATCTTCTGCACAATTGGCACCAAATCTGCCTAAAGTGATTGATGTGTCTCATTTATTGAAGCCTCCTCATCGATCGACACGTCCTGATCATTTTGTAATTATACTTCGAGGACTACCAGGTTGTTTCTCAGAGCCTTTTCTTTTGCTTTTGGATTGAACTTGTGAAGGATTTTAGTTTGTATAGTGTAGAATCTTGCTTCTTTGCTAATAAAGTAATACTCCCTCCTTTTCAAATCATATGTCTGTTGTAGGGTAAAATTTTCGTTCGTTTTATAATTTTCAATGCAAATTTTTTTTAACTTTATATGATAGTCTATTTTTTCATTGGTTGAAATGTAGTTAGGTGTATAGGTAATAGTGTTTTTATCTAGAGAATATATGCAAAATTAAATATTTTTTTTAATCTATGACTCTATGTGCAAAAACTCAGAACTATAACTAAATTGAAACGGAGGGAGTATAATTTTTCACTTGTTTTGGCATTTGAATGATTTTGAAAGGTATTTGTGTTTAAATGTTGGTGTTAGTAAGTAAGAATTGGATTTGTATATATATTCAGGTAGTGGGAAGAGTTATTTAGCCAAGTTGTTGCGTGACATTGAGGTAGAAAATGGCGGTAGTGCTCCACGAATCCATTCTATGGATGATTACTTCATGACTGAAGTTGAGAAGGTTCTTAAAAGGATTGACTTTTTTTTACTCCGGACCATCAAAGGATCCTAATATTGTGTTGCTTTGTCAATGTACAAGGTTGAGGAGAGTGATTCGACTTCTTCAAGCTCTGGTAGAAGCAAGAGACCTATTGTGAAGAAGGTCATGGAATACTGCTACGAACCTGAGATGGAAGAGGTATCTTGAGATAAATGATAATACATGACTATAAACCAAGGCGATGCTTTTTGTTTTTAAGTTTCTTGGTACACTTGAATTCTCAGGCGTATCGTTCAAGCATGCTGAAAGCTTTTAAGAAGACTCTTGAAGATGGGGCTTTCAGCTTTGTAATCGGTAATGATTTTTCCCTTAACAGCTTACTAGAATGTATGACTATATATCAGTTTTGATTGCAAAAGGTAATTTGTATCTGTTATCTTATGACATTTCTCTCTTTTGGTTTGATGATGTTGACATGGTGGCTACTATTCTTTTTGAGAAATCATTTCATCTTCCATGCTTTATTTAGTTTCTTAGTTCAAAGACTTAATATCCTTCTCAGCTCTCTTTTTTCTCAAGGTATAGAGACTAGGAAGTAGTATATATTTCAGCGTGTAAGATCTTTATTTAGGGATATTCATTAGTTTAGCTGGGAACTTAGTGGTGCACTACCCAAGCACGACATTCATTTTGCTAACCACGGATGCAGTTTATTTTCTGGAATTGACCGTTTCTTGCTGGTATATGTGGCTCATCTTAGTGGATGACCGTAATCTGCGGGTACCTGATTTTGCTCAGTTTTGGGCAACAGCTAAGGTATATCCTCACTTCTTTTTGTATTCCTTGTGGAGTTTGGATGTTGTTTGCGGAATTTTATGGAAGACTCATAATAATTTGTGAAGTCAGCTAGGTTTTATTTGCTTAGTGATCCTTGGTTTCCCAAGTGCCTAGATAATTTCATATCTGATATCGTTCTTATATGATGTTTTCACTATTTTAGTAAGTCTACGTTTCTGACAATGTTTTGGTCATTTAAACCTTAGAATTAGCATAAAATCTGTCAAGTTAAGGTGTGATTGCCAGTTCTCTAGATTTAAGTTTACGAGTGTTCTTTTTCTGAGATTCTTCTTTGTGCTTGTTTAAAACAGTTTTCCGTTCTCCAAAATTACCCTTGTATATCGGTTGCAGTCTTGCATCCTTTTTAGCTGAAATCAAGGAATCTAATTCGGTCCTTTAAAACCTACTGGCTTAGTGATCCTACTGGCTTAGTGATTGTCATCAAAGAGGACGTTGACGTGGGGCTACTTCCAAAGAAGCCCTTCCTCCCTTATCATTGCTTATCCATCTTTTATAAAATTAGAGCGATTAGTCTTGTTAGTGACTCTGCAAGTTGGAGTTGCTATTCATTTTCTGATTACTTCCGTTTCTGTTTATTTATAAATAGATAATGGTACTGTTTGCTTTTGGCAGTACTCCTCTGCCTCATTTTGTCATTTGCCGCTGTGCTCCATAGTTTTTTTTGTTTGTTTGTCTATGATTAACATGAGAACGAAAAGTTGAAGATGATTTCCTTTAAAATGCGAGAGTTCACCTCATCCTTTTTTTTTTCCTTTTGAAATACAGTTTGATTCAATCTTCCTTTGCTTCGCTTTTGCACACTGACCTGTGGCCTCATTTTATCTACCGGAAATTTAAATGATGTCCTGTTTATCTGTATGATTGGATCCTTGTTCTAAACGTTGAATTTTGGATTGTTACTTTTTTTTGTATTATTTAAAAAGAGTTGAATAAAACATGTTCCTCGTTCAAAATAGAAAATGAAAGGCTTTTCGTAACCGTACTTTAAAGTTTCCTTGACATTCTGTTTTTTCTTGTGTGCAGAGATCTGGATATGAAGCTTACATATTGGAAGCAACATACAAGGACCCAACTGTGAGTTCTCGATATACTTACTACATATCAAATCTGAATAGAATTTCTCACACATCTAGCTGTGCTAAGGGGTTTCAAAAATCATTACAGGGATGTGCGGCAAGAAACGTACATGGTATCACACTGGATCAAGTACAGCAGATGGCAGAACAATGGGAAGAAGCTCCATCATTGTACATGAAACTGGATATCAAGGTTCTTATACCAATTTTTCCTTCCAACATTGACCTTGCGTTTGATAAATTGGAAGAAGATGCCAGAATAATACCTTCGTGTATTATTTTGCGGCGATCTAAAGAAAACTGATCACTGAATGAGCTTCATACCTTTTTTGTTATACAATATCTCATGTTATATTTTTTTTCCTATGATAGTCGCTTACAAGAGGGGATGACCTAAAGGAGAGTGGAATCGAGGAGGTAATAGAATAACTTCTTTATACGAACATCCCTTCTTTTGACCGTCATTATATGATCCCACCTCGTAACTTCTCTTACAATTGCTCTAGGTGGACATGGACATGGAAGATGATTTTGGACTGCCAGAAAGAAAAACCGATAACAACACTCAGTCAGAAGGAAAGGATGCGACAGGAGGTAACATTTAAATGCTGCCTCTACCTTATTTTTCACCAATGCATGCCAAAAACACTTAACCGAGTCTTTCTATTGATATTTTCTCAGACACTAACATAAACAAGAGGAAATGGGAAGAAGAACCTAGCTCCCATTCAGAAGTGAAAGAACTAAGTAGAAGTAAATGGTCAAATGTGGAGGACGACGACGAAACAGAGAAATCTCAAACTACAAGACGAAACTCAAAATCTCTTTCCAAGTCAAGCCAAGAACGCTTGACGAAAGGTAAAACTGTTTGGTGGGGAGATAAGGTATAAACATACACATTTTGCTTCCAGAAGATCCGTTAGCTTTAAAAACATGTTTAATCTTTTGAAAAATCTCTGGCTTCATACATGCATTTGTTTATGCGGATAGGGAGGAGATGCAGGGTTTTCAATTGGTGCAAGGAATATGAACATGCCTTCTTTAGTTATAGGTCCCGGATCAGGATATAACTGGGTAAGCAAACGATAAAATATGGCTATGTGGTGTGTTCTTGGTCTCCTTATATATTAAGTAGTACTTCCTCATTGGTTAATGCAGAAATCGAATCCACTATCGGAAGCAGAGAGCCGTGCACTCGCTGATGCAATCGGAAAAGCAAAGGTAAGAGGAATCTTCCAAGATCAGCTAAGAGCAGAGCGTGAGTCTTTCAAAGCTCTTTTTGACAAGAGACTTGGTACATCTTACAATCCAAAGGACGAGTAAGTGTGCATGATTGAAAAATTAAAACGTATCACTTGTTATGCTTCATATAAATTATAATGTTTTTCCTTTTTAAAAAAGGAGAGGATTATGAATTTCTTGCTTTATTTGTTGTGTATGCTTATTTATAAATTATTGATATTTATTTCGAGAAAGACAATAATAAATATCTTTGAGGTTAATAATAATGTTTTAGCGAAATGCATTTCATCTCTAACCAAAACTTACTCAATGGTGTCTTAAGAATCGTAGCGTTGTGAAAACAAATGAGTTTTTGAACTCTATGGATGAGTTTAAAGGATTCAATCAGTCCCACAAAACCAAAAATCTAAAGATAGAAAAACTTGGAAGCATACGAGAATCCATAATTCTCGTTATTGAAATAATGTCTACGGATGTGGTTAATCATGTCTAAAGTTAGCTAACCATCCATATGTAATAAAAGGGATTCTTGGTTCCACAAAAAATATGTAATAATACGTTTGTAAGCACTCTTAACAAAATCAAACCCCGAGTTTCATAAAGAATAATGGGAGAAACAGAAGAGAAAGAAGTGAAGAAGAATCATGGTGATAAAGAAGAGGAACACAACAAAGCTGAGAAAACAGATAAGAAGGAGAAGAAGAAGGATAAAGATAAGAAGGATAAGAACGAGGACGATAAAAAAGGTGGAGGAGAAGAAGGTGAAGATCAAGAGAAGAAGAGCAAGAAGAAAGATAAGAAGACGAAGAAAGAGAAGAACCCTGAAGATAAGAAAGATCCAGAGAAGTTGAAGATGAAACTTCAGAAGATTGAAGAAAAGATTCAAGCTATGGTCTTAAAGAAAGATGAGATCGTCAAGCTTATTCATGATGCTGAACAAGCTAAAGCTAGTGCAGTTGCAGTAACAGATGCACCACCACCAACTAACTAACTCCTTTTCAATTATATATACTACAATTCTATGATTCCATATTTTGGTTTTCTTGGGGTCTCAATAAGAAATGCTGATGAATTTTGGTAGGATTTTTCTCATTTCTGTTTTTCGTTTGTTTAATTTATTTGTTTGTATATATTGTACAAAAACCATTTGTTTTTAAGATAATACTTATCACCTTGGTGATTCTGATTTATACCTTCTTTGAACGACTATATAAAATGTAGGCATATCACCTCCTATGGTTTAATAATGTAAGATCAAGACAAAGCATTAGCATGGATCAAGCTGATCTTAATTATAATCTAATGAACGTCATCTCTAAGATGCCATCATTAGTTATTTCTCTTGTTACAACGAAATCAATAGCATGATAATTTGGTACTTTAACACAAGTTTTTAGACTCACCAAGATGGGAGGGATATTGTGTTGAGTTTATATCGAATAATACTGAGTGCGGGAGAAGATGGTAAATTTAATTAATCCACCATGGAAGTGGGAACAAGAATCCTCCTGCTATATGCTATGTCTGATCTGATATCCAAAAAGGCTGAATTTTCTTCTTCTAGCAACTATAATCTTTTGTGCCAAGTTGCGTATATCACCATCTCTAAGACTATTAAAGTCTCAAAATGATGTCGTATAGCATAAACCTGCATGTGAAAGCTTTTACACTTTGAAAGATGTATTATTTCATCCTATACTATATAAAGACCCTGCAAGACATATGACAATGTCAATGTCTTGTTGCCAAACCTTTTCAAGAGTCCATCTCTGATTTAAAAGTGGCCACATCATTTCTATGTGTCTTCAAACCTTTTCAGATATGAATGATCAGATCACTTGACCAAAAAATACAAATGAATGATCACCAATTTGACATCAAATCATCAAAATATTATTTTGCATAATACCACACAATTCAAAAGCCTTCGTCTTTGACTTCTCTTTTCCTCTTTGATTTTTCTAAGAAATTTGAATTAATATAAATTGACGGAAGAAAAGACTGTATACTAAATAGTAGTCTCTCCATTTTATTTTATTTGTCATTCTGAACTTTTGCACATAAATTAAAAAATATTTAATTTGTATATTTTCAAAATAAAAATACACTTATCTATAGACCTAACCACATTTCAACCAATAAAAAAATAGAAAATTATATAAAGTTAATAAATTATAGACCTAACCACATTTCAACCAATAAAAAAATAGAAAATTATATAAAGTTAATAAATTATGCATCGAAACTATAAAACAACATTTAATTTGAAACAAAATTTTTTTTTTACAACATGTGAACTGAAAAAGAGGGAATATCGGTTTTCATTCATTAACTCCTCCATACAGATGAGTTGAATTTATTTTATTTAGCCTCTAATGTAACCTCATAATCCATGTAGATTAATTGATTAATAATCGATACTAATTACGCTTTTTGGTTGTACAAATACGTCAAATTTAATAACGAAAAGTATTTAAAAAAAAAAAACTAAAGCATGAGAGTTTCTCAGCAAAAGATCATAGGATCTTAACACACCACAAAGCTTAGTATATAAACATATAACGATCAGTCCAATCTAATTCAAGACTTGTCTGCAAACGAGCCTTGAAGAAGCCCATCTCTGATCTGAGTAGCCACATCACGAACCGCTCCTGGTCCATGTGGTATGAACACAGCAGAGGATTTGGAGCTAGCACCAATCTCCTTCATAGTATCAAAGTACTGCGTAACAAGCACCATGTCCATCACATCTTTAGCAGTTGTTCCAGGAACATTCACAGAGAAGCCCAAAACACTGTCACGTAGCCCGTCAACAATGGCTTGCCTCTGACGAGCGATACCTAGACCAGACAAGTACTTGGCCTCAGCTTCACCTTCAGCTCTCTTGATCTGCAAGATCTTCTCAGCTTCTGCCTTCTCGTTTGCAGCTAACCTCATCCTTGCAGCTATATAAAAACAAGAAGTCATGAAACTTGGCGATTTATAAGAAAGAAGATTTAAGTCTATAGATGAAACTTACCAGCGTTGATCTCGTTCATGGCTCGTTTCACATGTTCATCAGGCTCTATGTCAACAATGAGAGTTTGAACAATCTCAAAACCGTAAGCAGACATTGCCTACAAGTGACACAGAGAGAAACAAATTAAATCACAGCCAAAAAAACACAAAATAATGATGATATATTTATACACAGAGAAACAAATTAAATCACAGGCAAAAAAAAACACAAAATAACGATGATATATTTATACACAGAGAAACAAATTAAACCAAAGCCAAAAAAAACACAAAATAATGATTATTTACTATACCTTCTCAAGCTCCTCTTCAACAGCTTTAGCAATTTCATTCTTCTGCTCAAAGACATCATCAAGAATCAGCTTGGGGACACTTGCTCTGATCACTAAAAACAACCAAAATAAAAACTAAGTTTCTTTAACACAATAATCACTCTCTAAATCATCATGAAACCTTACTTACCATCAAAAACATAAGCTTGGATCTGGCTTCTTGTGTTACTAAGCTTGTAGAAAGCATCATTAGCATTATTAGCTAAAGCACGGTACTGAATCGATGCAACAACATTAACAAACACATTATCCTGTAACAACAAAAACACTTAGAACAGTTACTAAAACTCAAAAACCCATAAAGAAAAAAAAAACATAAAAAGAAAAAAGTTGGAACCTTTGTTTTAGTCTCGCAACGAACATCAAGTTGCTGAAGCCTTAGAGAGAGGTAACCAGCAACTTGCTGACCAAGACACCATGGGAGAAAGTGACAACCTGGCTCAAGAACATCTTCGAACTTCCCAAACGTTTCTTTAATCGCAACCGTTGATTGGTCCACTTGTACACAGCAAAATAAATTCCCCATCTTTCTTCACAAAAAAAAACACAACTTTTCATGAGGATAAGACATAGAAACTGAACTTCATTATACCCAGAAACCTAAATAAATAAAAAACAAAAAAAAAAACACAACTTTTCATGAGAATAAGACAAAAAAAAAACTGAACTTGATTAGACCCAGAAACCTAAATTTGGTTCTTATCTATCGATCTAATCTCACGAGCCTAGAAAGTTAGAATCTTTGAGACTAAAAGGGGGAAAGAAGATCAAAGGAGGGAGTTTTTAGGGTTTACCGAAAGTTACCGACTTTTTGATTGCAGATTTGCTGGGTTTGATGATTAGATTGGAACGTTTTTTTTGGTAGCAAAACAGCCTGTGATGATCGTTTTATATATATATTCCACTGGGGAGATAAGACTAGACGCGCTAGTATTTACGACTATTTCTAATTCTCACCCCTTATCTTCTCAATATTACATTTAAAGTCGGTTTATGTTTAATTTGTAGAAAAAAACAGGGGATCTTGACGAAACAATTGGCAATTTGTTTTTCTTTTTGTCGTCATAATTGGCAATTTGTTTATTGTATCAAAACTGTTTCCTAAAAACATGTCTTCTCTTCTGTTCAAAAAAAATATAAAAATATTTTTTTGTCATAAAACTCATTTATGTGATTTTAGAGAATCTCCTAAACATTATTTACGAAAAGATTTGCATATATGTGATTGTCATATTCATTCTCTACACAAAAATGGTATATATATATTTTTTTTAAATAATATGATATGATATCAACTTAATTGTAATATATGCATTTTCCTTTATTATTATTTTTATTTATTGGCAAAGTTTTTTAAATTGGTAATTATAATTGTTATATCTAAAGTAAACCTTATAATTATTATAATATAAATATTTATTTAGCAAGACTTTCGAAATATTATTAATAATTAGTAATTCATATATTATCATTATATATATATATCAAATTAATAAAGAAAACTTAATATAATTACAAATATTACATCAACTTATATATCAGATTTTGTATAAAAATATAAATATCCTCAAAATTAAAAACTAAATCAATACTAATCAATTAAAACTTTTTGATATTTAAATGATAAAAAATATTTAAAAGAGTTAATAAAATAAAAAAAAATACATTTATAGATTTTTCAAACCGGTAAATTAAAATATAAAAATAATGTCAAAATGTAAGTAAGTTTTAAAAATAATATAATATAATATTTTAACTTATATTTCTGCGCAAGGTGCATAAAAAACTACTAGTTTAAATAAAAAGTTAGGAGTTTGGACAGTTTTTGTTTGTTTTTTTTTTTTTTTTTTTTGGTCAAACTTCTTGTTTGTTTGTTAAGAGATGGATTGTTGTGTCTGTTAGATTGATATGTCAAAGAATATTCCAAAAATTACATCATACCAATTGATTTCCATTTTCTTTAAGTACTTATCTATATTACTAGGATAAGATCCGCGCCTTGCGCGGAATAAAGCTATTATTTTTATTATATTTTGAAAAATGAAACAATAGTTCGGTTTCATTCGGATTGGAGGTGTTCAATCCGGATATCGGATTTTGGTTCGGCTCGATTTTTTGGTATTTCGATTATTAAAATATAACTACTATTCTAAATCTATATGTATTTCAGTTTGAATTAATTTATATACCATCAGTTTTCAGTTTATTCAATTTTATACCAAAAAACATGATTATTTAGTTTGAGATCATATTATATATTATACAAATATATAATATGATCATATTTAGAGTCATATTGTCGCAGAGTCATTTATTAAAAAAATATTATATATTTAAATAAAAGAATAAAAAACAAAAAGGATTCTATCATCTAATAAAATGATCAAATCTAGAATTAAAATCAAAACACTAAATTTTGAAAATAAAAATAAAAAACAAAACAGAAGCATGAAATAAAAGTTTTTATATTCTTCCATATTTAGTGTTCATCAAACCAATATGTCTTCGATTGAACACAACTCTGTTTGTTTAAAGATAAAAAAAGTTGTAAAGAATCTCAACTAATTGTTGTCCATCAAATTTATAATCTTTACTTCAATTTAGTTACTGTTAAAAAGCAAAAGATCAAAATAAGAAGTCTAAGTTGTAATAAATTGTTAGCTATTTACAAATTATAATTATAGTTCAACTCATGTAACAAATAGATATTCATGCGTCGTTATAAATATATACATATTTACATGTTTCAGTTTAATCGGTTATAAATCAAACCATATCCAAATCCTTTGGTTTTTATAAAATCACATCCATTCGGTTTGTATGGTATATACCAAAAATAACTATATTATCGATTGTTAATATCTTTTAAAAATATAAAATTAAAAAAAGAACTAAGATATTTAAATCATTGATAACAAAAATTTTCAATGTGAAAAAATTAATAATTTTATAATTTATAAATGTTCTTGAAAATTTGTTGAGGATTTTGAAATTAAAATATTTATGTAATCTTATATGGTATATAGTTTAATCTGTATATATATTTGTTTTATTATTGAATGATACTTTTTACTTATATGGTTTTAAAATCATGTATATCTTTTTATAATAAAAATGTTAAACTATTGATCATTAATTTTTAACATAATAATTTTAATAGTTTAGTTATTTATTCT